GGACTATATGACTATGGGCCTTGATATATTACTCTTTTGGGCTATTAATGGACTATATTACGTATTGGGATTGAGGAAAGGCCCACTTGAGAAGTTGGGCCCAATTTAGAAAATTAGGTTATAAGTGGGCCATTATTGGGCTTGGAAAGATTATATGGAATTAGGCCTTCATGTTATAGATTTAGGCCTAGGTCATGGACCAAAGTAAATCAGGGGTAAAATGGTCATTTTACCGTAAGAAGGCTTATTTGATTTTTACTAAGTGTTATTTGGTAATGATAGTTCGGTGAGTCGTGGGAGCAACCGTTAAATATTCCTTACAGTGAGATTTCAGCATTCAACTTTGCGAGGTGATTTTTCTCCTATAGGAACAGGTTGAAGGCACCAATGCTAGACCGTTTATGTATGTTAGTATGTTCCAGACTAAGGTCCAATGTCGGGAAATGCCGGATGTAGGTTATTATGTTTTCGGATTCCGATCCGATGTCGGGCGGTGCCCGAGGAATGTTTGTAGGCTTGATGTCTTCGTGATTCTTGCATATGCTTGTTTTACATGTTTCCGGACTTCGGTCTGATTCTGGGGAAAGTTCAAGGAATGTTTTTATGTTTTTAGACTTTGGACTGATGTCGGGAAAAGCCCGAGGAATGTTTATATGTTTCCGGATCTTGGTCTGATGTCAGGCCGGGCCCGAGGAATGTTTATATGTTTATGTTATTTGATTATTTATGTGTATCTGTTGATATGTTATATGTATACCGAGCTTTGCTCGATGCTAGGCGGGGCCCAATATAGCGGGCAAGGCCCATATTATGTTATTATGTGATTATATGATTATATGTATGGTATGTGGTAGGTTGGGGAGACTAACAAAGCTTCGTGCTTATAGTTTTCAGTTTTGGTTTTGGGTATTTCTGATAGCAAGGGGAAGAACTCGGGGTGACTGCAATGCACACATCATTTGTTTAGCCTGGGATTTTTTACTTTGATATGTTTGACAGTTGTTTATGATATTTTGAGATACATGACTTATGGTTTTTATGTGATGAACTGTTAACTATGGTTTTATTAATGATTTAAAACAAAAATTTTGGACCTTATTTTTGGGATGTTTGAAGTTAGTATTTTCGTTTGAGGGATTCGAGCACGCTCTCGGGTTTTTCTGAACTCAAACTGAGGAATTGGTATAAAATTTTTAAAAGAAAAACCGTTTTTACAAAATAGGTTTTGAGAAGAGAAAAGGGTGTGGTGCATGCAATCAGCCGAGCTCAAGTAAGTTCTCCCAAATTACCCATACAAGTTTATTATGTTATGATTATGAGAATTGCATGCTAGTTAGGGCTAAGGATCTAGGAAGGATGCCTTATATGCCTACTATACTATGTAGTTATCGCGGTCAAAATTTCAATAGCGGTCACATGCCGCTATTTGAGATCACGGTTATCGCGGTGGTATAGCGGTGATATAGCGGTTTTTTAATATTACGTATAATTTATAATTTTATTTTATATTTATGTAGAAGTTATATATATATTTGAGTATTAATACTATAAGTCTATATAGAATTAATATCATAAACCTAAAAAGTCATATAAAAACATAACATAATATTCTATTATGTAATATGGAAACTAGGTAGTGTCAAAGTGTCAAATAGAATTTAATTGTATTGCTTGTGTTCAATATTATATTAGTAGGTCATGGTTGATATAACGAGTTAAGTCCCAAGTCGTAGCCTCATAGGTGTTGTTCGATTTACAGAAAGCATTAATGGAGTCCGACCATAGCAGTTCAAGTTGTGGTGAGTACAAAAAGAGATGAGAAAATAGAGTTGTCGGTAGAAGTAGTTGATTTGAATGCTTTTAGTTATGTTAGTGGTTTGGGCATTTTAAAATGAAAGTGTAGTGAGATCATTAAAACTATTTTTTCATTGACAAAGTAACCAAATGACCCAAAATGTGAACGAAAATGGAATAGCGCCCGTAACGCCGCTATAGCGGTTATTAAAATAACGGTGAATAGCGTCATTAATAGCGGTACTGCGAAATGAAAACGCTAAGTTGAAAATAGCGGTTCCTGACCTCCGCAAAAGGCTATAGCACCGCTATAGCACTACTATAGCGTGCAATTGATAGCTTAGCTGCTATATGAGCTTATTAAACCATTTGCTAGTACTGATTAGTCAGTAATATGATAGCCTGAGTAGGACATGCTTGATTACGTTTACTCAATGCTCGAATGCTGCTTGCTTTATGCTTTTAGGATTTCTAGTTATCTTTAACTAACTTGTAAACGAATATGTTATGTTTCATATTACGAGAACTAAATAATTGCAAAAGGTTAGGTTTAGCCTTATTTTGCAGCTCTCATTTTGAATCTAACCATTCTAGGGTAGAACCTCTCATTCGAAGAATTATCTTGTATTAGTAGTATGTAATAGTGTTCACGAGCTAGTTAAGGGGAGATAGCAGGGACTTCTTATGCAGTTGATGGAGGAGAGTAGGTTGGAAGTTAACATAGGGCAAGCCTAGGATGAGATTAGCATAGAGAGCAGTAGTAGTGAAACAGACAATGTAGAGTCAAGGCAGTTCTTGAGGAAAGTACGGATAGATGTGGATGGTAGTATGGGCCCGTACTACTGAAAGTAGAGGATCCATACTCAAATACAGGTAGGCTAAGATGAACCCAGGAAACTTGTAGTATGTATGATCCCTCGAGTTATGATGAGTATACTGGGGGGTTTTGTGCACTCTAACAACCATAAGGTGCACATATAACCCTAAATGATTTGGATCTATGTTTTCTCTAATTATAGATGCAATTTGATTTTCCAAAGCATTATCCTAACTAGCATACAAAACATGGGGTACTTGTATGACAAAAAATAGTTAGATGACATACCTTTTCTTGTATCTTGTTAGCTTGGACCTTTAAGAGCCTACCAACCCAAATGTGATGCCTCAAATACATCACAAAACACCACCAATAATGGAGGAATTTGAGAGAGAATAACTTGCACACAAAAATCGGTTATGACTCTTCCAAAGATCACTAGTGCCGATTTTAAGAGCTAAGGGGCTTCTTTTATAGTGTGGTAAAACCCTAATGCACCATGACCTTTCATATTACTTAGTATCCATGGGTTAAACCTCAATGGACTATCCATCGAATACCATGTTGGTTTGGTCCATCCTAAATTACCATAGGCCCACACTATAAGAATCATTGATTTACCAAATCAATCCTTTTATATTTAATTAGTCTCTTTCGATCACTAAATTAATTCCAAATTAATTCTTGATCCATACTAATTAAAAGATATGATTTCATATTGATATATTAAAACATATAATATATTAATAAATCATATAATCTTCTCAAAATTCCATCCTTACAAATTGTTTTAGTGAAATGCAACCCAAATGGACCATGCTACTTTCGGGTCAAGTAAATATCAAATATAGTTATGGACTTAGACACCTTATCCAACAGTCACTACTAGAAAACAGCCCTTTAACGACGCACAAACAATGACACGCGCTGATAGAGGACACGCATTTATGCGTGCCCTAAAAATTAATGTCAATTTTCCAAAATTTGAAGGATAGAGGACACGTATTTATGCGTGCCCTAAAATTAGTGTCCAACAAAAAAAGTTAAAAACACGGTGGGCAACTATCATAAAAAAGCGTGTCGTGTAAAACTGTCACTTTATAAATTTTTTTTCACGGATGCACGTTCTTCCCTTTTTTAGTTGCCAAGTGGGGGGAATGAAATCCCAAAAAAATTGAAAACCCCTCCCTAATACTCTGATCCTTCTTCTTCTTATTTTGTAAAATCATCTTCCAAAGAAACCCTAAAAGGATTGTGTGGCTGTCGATCTTTCTCCCTTTTTGGAGCTCTGCAGCCATACGGAAGTCAACGACGGCATCTATCCTCTTTTCTCCACCATTTTCTGCCCCTGAGTCATCTTTATTTCCCTAATAGCATGACGTAAGAATTATGAGTATTACTATAGTTTTCAGCCATTCGATGCTTTGTCTCTCCCCCATTCTCCTACACTCCTCCATCTTCTCCTAAGGTTCGCCTTCATGATTCTCTCACCCCACATTCAAGCGATTCTCTCCAACAAATACGAGGTAAAACTTAATTTCATGATCTTGCGAAAAATAAAGTCAACTCTTCATCATCTTCTTCTTCTATACCATAGATATCATTCACAGTCTCTCTCCTAAAACCGATCGACCGCCTCAAATACTTTCGTCTAAACCACATGTTCATCCAAATCGCTAGGAAGAGGGTCTTCTCTTGCTCTCCCAAATTATCAGTCAATCGATTTATCGCCGTCACCTTCGTATACGCGCTGACTTCCCTTTGTTCCCAATAATCTCTCCAGTCAAATCAGCTAGCTATCTCTCTACTTTCTGAATTCTCCTGGATTGGAAATTTTCTGATACTTCGATAGCTTTTAAACAAACAAAACTCAGTTTTTCTCTCAATAATCCCTTGTATTTTTCATTGTTGTTCCCCTTACTGGCTTCGATAACCTCTCTAATTTATGAGGGTTTTGTTTACACAACGATTGGAATCATATATGACAATGATTTTATGTGTATGAGTTGTAGAAGCGAGCTATATGGAAACTATAGAGGATAACGATTGGATCTGGAACAAGTCACCCTCCATACTCTGCTTTCAACCCAAATGCAAAGGCAATTGTTGCCTTCCCTGAAACTGCTCCTACCTTAAACCCAAGGGCAATCATGTATTTTGCATCAGATCTGGAACAAGTCACCCTCTCCATCCTCATCATTGAAGTTGAATTGATGAAGTATTTTCATTCATGTGTGAATCAAATGAAACTTAAATCAGTTCATGCTACCACTTTTTAACTAATTGCTTCAAATCCTTTTATTTTTTCAGAGATTGTGAGGGTTTCAAGTATGCTACCAAATCAAGGGTTTAATGAGCTTAATAGACTGCGCCATGAAGTCCAACTCCCATGGCATCTTCAAATCTTATGTCAAATGTTCCTGGGAGTAGGATTAGTGGCTGGAATGGTCTTCCACCAGAGGTACTTGTGTATTTCTATTTACTCTTTTTCTTATTATGTCTTATTAATCAATAATACTTTGTTTTAAGAGATAAATACAAGTTCATGGTATATATGTATGATCATGTAAGCCTTAATTGCATCTATTGCTAATGTGGCTCCTTTTGTTTAATTAATGGTTTAGTAGATTCCTATCATTTGATCTCACTGCCTGTAATCGCATATGTTGTTGATGTGGCTCCTTCTTTGTGCTTAGCTGTTGTTATCAAAAGCTGCCACCTCATTATTAACTACTGTGTTACCTTGTTATTCATGGTTGCTGTCTCTACATGTTGTCCATTGATGTTAAGTTGTTGACAGGAAAATCTCACAATGGCATTGTGACATAACACTTATTGTATCTAAATTCGAGTTAAGTGCTATTATCAGAAGCCGTCATTTAGGAATCCACACCTCAAGTTTCTTCTTCCAAATGTTTGTGACCTTTTCGCTATTGCTGATTTTGTTATTCTTGTTTGTTGCCCATTTGATCTTAACAACTTAATATCATATTATCTCATTTCTGTATCTAATTTGGCCATGTTTATGTTAGGTAAAATCGTGTTATTCAAAGGTGTATTCTTGTCATTTTGTTACTCTTCTTGCTTTTACTAATCTGGAACACACAACTAGGATGATTCAAAATCAATCAGTAACTTCAAATTACTTTCGTTTATATTACACACAGTTAGCTTAAGCTTTGTATTTTCCTAAATTCATATTTATTGACTGAAAATTTAGCTGATTGTCAGTTGTTGAATCATATATGCCAGTTTTTGTTAAGACTTTGACATGTGAAGTCAAAGATTCAGGACATAGAGGGGATTCCACTGCATCAACAAATATCTTATGCCTATTCTTTCCTCTAAATGGTGTACGACCATACAACATCTCATATAATAAAATACCTGAAATAAAAAAAATATATATAATAAAAAAATTGGTTAAAGTATTGAAATGGGCAAAAGAAGGTAATTCAAATAAACTGTTTATATTTTAAAGAAAAATTTTAATGCATTAAAATTAATAAGCTTACCTACTGCCCACCAATAAATAGCACTGGAGTGGCCAGCTGCTATTATGATTTTCTAAAATATCATCACAATTTCAAAGGGTAAAATAAGGAGACCATAAATAAGTGAAATTACATAAATGCCCTTTGAGTACTTTTCCTATCGGAGCAATGTATTCTTCATTCCCAAAAAATGAATTTGATTGTGTAGAAGGTTCCACAACAAATGTAGGTGGTGGTTGGCTTCTAGATCTTCTTCTTTTAAGCTGAGGATGTTTTATAACCTGCAAAATTAAAATTAACATACGGCAAAAATAAATAAATAAATCCAGAATCTTGTAAGAATATAAGTCATTTTTTTAAATAGAAAAGGACATACTTGGGGTTTACACTGAGTTCTAAATGATAAATCAAAGTCACTCAATACAACATGTCCATTTGTTTGAAGTAATATATTCTCTGGTTTCAAGTCCCTATAGATGATCCCTGAATAAAAAAAAAACATAAATTGAATGAAAGATGTAAGGGGTAAAATGGGGTAAAATGCTGGAAAGAACCTAAAAGATGATGTGAATTTGAAGGTAACATGCAGATTTTTGTTAAGATTTTGACATGGAAAACCATCAGCCTGGAGGTGGAAAGCTCGAACTGTATTCGTTATGTGATGGAAATGATTGAGGAGAAAGAGGGAATTCCAGTTAATCATGTATATAGTTAGTTTTAAAAGACTGATTTAATCTAGCATTTTAATAGTTTTAAGTTAATTTTTTTATTTTAATCTGCACAGATTGTTGAACTTGGTGATTATCTGTATTTTGTGGGCATCCAGTTTCATCCCGAGTTCAAGTCTCGGCTGGGAAAACCTTCTGCACTTTTCTTAGGTACCACCAACAAAACTATCTATCAACACTTTGACTTTTCAATGTAAGGGTAAGATAGTCATTTAGTCTTTTGACGATTCATATTTTATTATGCAGGTGTTCCAAACCAAGTTTGCTAAGATAAGTGTGGGTATGAATTTCTCAATCCTTTCACCTAAATACACTCCTCCCAACACGTTAAAATTGATGAATGTTTTGATTTTTTTGTCACTAACACTTGGATGATGCTTAATTTGACTTTCTGTTGGAGAGGGTAGTCGAGTGGGTTTGCTGAGTGCTGATTGTGTGATTGATGGATGAATTGGTCCTTAGTTGTGACTGGATACTAAAGGTGATTTGTGGCTGGTTACTAAAGGCGATGAACGCCACAAATTATTGTCATTTTAATTTGTTTTTTTTTTTTGATGTTAGTGTTGGGAGAACATATGTATTCAGCTTTCAAGCAGATGACTGCATCATGTGTCTAGGGTCACGCTTCATATTACTGCTTGCAACAGAAGCAGAAAGTGGTGTTGATTTGCATTTGCTGCCTGGATTCGCCACTAATAAAGGAAATGGAAGAAGCCTCATGAAATAGATTTTTTGTATGAAACACAGTAGATTAGATGAAAGAAAATTTATATATTGTAAGAAATAGAATTGTATGATATTAAATTTTATGCAATGAATTGTATTTTTTTATATGGTATTTTATTTCTATTATGAGTCATTAAATGCAAATTTAATTTAAAAATTAATAAATATACAAATATATATTTTTAAACATTTAAATTTACGATACGCAAAAATGCATGTCATCTTGATTTATGATAGAGCCTTTCTTGACAGGGTTTTAATGTTACGCATTGCGCGTCATAACTACGTGTCGTAAACAGACGACGTGCAAATGTGGTCGTCTTTCGTTATGACAGGGCCTTTCTTGACGGGCATTTACATGTCGTCTAAGCTTTTTACGACACTCATTGTACATCGTAAAAGCCTGTTTTTTCTAGTAGTGAGTATCCCACTTGGATAAGTCTAATAAATATAGTTACAAGTACGACTTCAGGAACCGACTAGAAATCGTAGCTCTTAAAAGCCTTTGTTGAACCGTGATGCGCCATTTAGATAAGCGATCATATAACCCTCTGTTCTCAAGATATCAGCCGGAAAAATACATGAAACATAGTCATTCTTATTGTCCATCATTTGTTTCCTGATATCCTATTTGTTTGACATAGAAATCAATCGAACACATCAATTCAGTTTTGACCGGGCCCAACACATAAGTTAAAACAAAATCATCAAGGGGCCCAAGATATTGCTTTTAATCCTCCAGGGACTAAAAAGAACAGATAAACTTCGACTCATATGCTTGTACCAACTACTACTTAAATTGTATACAATAGCACATTTTATAGCATCAAGTTACTGATGCAATTTGGCACTATCAATGTACAATTAACTCATAGTTAACAACTCATATCTCTTGGTTTGAGGACTATATGGTATTATCGTCTCACAATCACTAAAGATAAATTCCATGAAGTGATACAAGTGAGCGTAGGTTTAATCCAATACTCAGACCTTATGATCACTCATGAATGTTGTAGAAAACCTTTGTTATGTGTAATACAGTTTAGACAACCTTCAAGCCAAATTCATGACAGTCTTGCCTCAATACCTACTTCCAACGTATGATAGACTATGGATAGTTTGAATAATTTAATTATTCTGGAAGTCAAAACATGAAAACTAAAACAATAGTAAATGATTGACACAAGATAGTAACATTACTTATAAATAAAGAACACCTTTTATTTAATCATCAAATGCCAATTACATTTTAACTATTCAATTTTCTAAACTGCTATCTAATCATTAAAAACAATATTGTCCTTCAGTCTGATGCGCTTCGCATGTTGTAAGTGCTTAACCTACTCAGTCCCTTTGTGAGGGGATTTGGTGGGTTCTCCTACGAAGATACCCTATTTGCTACGACGAGACCTTCTTCTATCCGATATCTTATGAATTTAAATTTTTTGTCATTGTGCTTGGATCTACCATGATCCCTTGGTTCCTTGGTTAAGGAAAATGCACTCTCGCTATCACAGAAAATATCCATAGGCTTCTTTATAGTTGTTACAACTCCAAGGTTTCTGATGAAGTTCTTTAGCCATATCGTCTCCTTCGTCGCTTCACTTGTTGCTATATACTCTGATTCCCACGTTGAATCAACTACAGTCTCCTACTTGGAACATTTCCAAGTGATTGCTCCTCCATTAAGGGTAAATACCCAATCTAAATGAAAGAGTAAATTATCTTTGTCGGTATGAAAGCTGGCATCACTATACCCCACCACTCATAAGTCATCACTCCCACTAAGGGTAAGGACGGTGTCCATAGTCCTCTGCAGGTACTTGAGAATGTTCTTTACCGCAGTCCGGTGAGCCTTACCAGGATTCCCTTGATATCTGCTGACCATGCTCAAGGAAAAGGCCACATCAGAGCGAGTATAAGTCATAGCATACGTGATCGAGCCAACAGCAGAAGCATATGGTATTCGACTTATCTCAACTCTTTCAGCCTCTATACTCGTTCTCTGAGTCTTACTCAGTTTCGCATTGCTCTGGATCGGTAAGTCACCATCCTTGGAATCCATCATGTTGAATCTTTTAAACACTTTTTCCATGTAGGTACTTTGACTAACTCCAATTAGTCTCTTACTCCTGTCTCTCAATATCCTTATCCCAAGAAGATAGGCAACTTCTCTGAGGTCCTTCATAGCGAAACACTTCCCAAGCCAGGACTTAACCTCCTACAAGGTTGGTATGTCATTTCCTATGAGAAGTATGTCATCCACATACAACACCAGCAAGCCAACTATACTCCCACTAGCCTTGACATATACACAAGACTCATCCTCGCTTCTCGAAAAAAACAAACTCTTTTACTTTCTCATCGAAACAAAGATTCCATTTATGATATGCTTGTTTCAATCCATAAATCGATTTCTCAAGCTTACACACTCTATTAGGTTACTTTGCATCGGCAAAACCCTCTGGTTGACTCATGTAAACAATGTCAGCCAACTTTCCATTAGGGAAAGCGTTTTTGACATTGATTTGCCATATTTTATAATCATGAAATGCAGCTATGGCTAGCATAACCCTAATACACTTAATCTTTGCTACTGGCGAGAAGATCTCATCATAGTCAACTCTCGGAGTTTAAATAAAACCATTCGCAACCAGTCGTGCCTTATATGCGTGTACTTTCCCATCCATCTTGGTCTTCTTCTTGAAGATCCATTTACACCAAATTGTCTTACAACCCGGTACTTTGTCAATCAAGTTCCAAACTTGATTTTCATACATGGACTAAATCTTGCTGTCCATCACCTCTTTCCATTTAGTAGACTTGGGGCCTATCATGACTTCTTTTCATTTGTTAGGTTCATCCAAATTTACGAGTGTTCTATCACTGATAAATGTATCACCTTCTGCAGTAATATGGAAACCATAAAACTCAGGTGGAACTCTAACTCTACTGGAATGCCTCAGAGGTACGGACTTGCTAATGGCCTCAATAGGAGTTTCCTCCTCAGGTTGATTGCTATTGTTTAAGGTTCCTTCATCACTTGACTCTTGAAGCTCTTCCAGATCAATTTTCCTCCCATTATCCCCTTGGCATATCATCTCTCTCTCTCTTTCTCTCTCTCTCTCTCTCTCTCTCTCACTAAAGACTGCTCTCCTGTCAGTGAATACAACATTTTCACTCAGTCTGTAGAAGAGATATCCAAAGGACTTTTGCAGGTAGCCGATGAAAATACAACATTCACTGCAAGGTTCGAGCTTATCGTGAGCCTGAAATCTCACGAAAGCCTCGCAACCCCAAACCTTGATGTGTGCTAACGAGGGAAATTTCCATGTCCACATCTCGTGAGGTGTTTTGGCAACCTTCTTATTTGGGAATAAATTAAGGATATGGGTGGCAGTCTCTAAGGCATACCCCTAGAATGAGATAGGTAACAAATCTAGACTCATCATGGAACGAACCATGTCCAACAAGGTTCGATTGCGCCTCTTAGCCACACCAATAAGATGTGGTGTCCTAGGTGGCGTCAACTATGAAATAATTCCACATTCCTTAACATAATCAAGGAATTCAATACTAAGATACTCACCATCCTAATCAGATCGAAGCATCTTTATCTTCCAGCCTAGCGGATTCTCTACTTGTTGTTTAAACTCTTTGAACTTTTCAAAAGTTTCTGACTTATGCTTGATTAAGTAGATATAGCTATATCTACTGTAATCATCATTAAATATCAAACAGAAGCGGTTAGCATCCCTTATGGTGTTTCTGAAGGGTCCACACACATCGGTGTGTATGAGATCCAACACACCCTCACCCCTTTCACAAGTACCAATAAAGGGTAACTTGGTCATCTTTCCAAGCAAACAAGATTCGTAAGTGTCATCCGACTTTAAATCGAATGACTCCAAAACTCCAGCCTTTTGGAGCTGGCATATGTGCTTCTTATTGATATGTCCAAGACGATAATGCCACAAGGATTCCATTTCCAAACTATTGGATGAATCCATATGTAACACATTATTTCTTAAGTTGTCTACAACTATCACAGTTTCATATACACCATTACAAGGCAATGCTTAAAAATAAAATACACAATTTTAAAAGCATTAATAGCACCAATTTCAGTATCAAATGAAAAAGTAAAAGCTTGTCTATACAAACCATGAAATGAAATAATATTTCTTGCCATATCCGACGAGTAACAAAAATTATTCAAATCTATTTCTAAACTACTACTAAGAAACAAAGAGTAAACTCCAATACTAGTGACAGGTGAAACTTTTCTATTCCCCATGATAAAGTTTATCTTCCTATGCTCCACATCCTTACTTCTTTATAGGCCCTGCATATAAGAACAAATGTGAAATCCACAACCTGTATCAAGGACCCAAGAATTAGCATGTGATGAGTTTTTAGATGGAATAGTGTCAATACCTGCATGGGTGGGTTTAACATTCCCATCCTTAACCTCATGCAAGTACTTGGGGCAGCTTCCCTTCTGATTCCTCTTTTCATGACAATAGAAACGCCCTGCTTTCTTAGGAATAGTATACGGAGCAGTAGATCCAACCTTGGTCCCACTTGAAGAGGATCCATCAAGAGACTTTCCCTTACGGCTCTTAGAGGTAGCCTTCCTCCTTTTCCCCTTCCCTTGCCCAATTTCCTGAACAGGAGCGCTAGTAGGAGTTGTAACAACTGATTTGCCTTTGAGACTACTTTTAGTAGTCCTCAAAAGCCCATGAAGTTTGCTAAGTGTGACCTCCTCCTTTTTCATATGATAGGTCATGCAAAACTAATCATAACATGGACGTAAGGAGTGTAGAATGATATTTATAGCCAGCTCCTCATCGGAGTTCACATTCAACTTTAGCAAACGGTCCACAAACCTTTGCATTTTGTACAAGTGGGTTGTGATGGACTCTCTATGCTTCATCTTAGTTGTTATCATGGAAGAGATGATTTCATACATCTCTTGACAAGCACTCTGATGATTTCTTT